TACTAGTCCCTCTGGGATTTTCCAGGTGTATATAATCATGTATCTCTCCCGCCTGCGTTCCAGGGGATACAGGTTTAGGAGCCTCAAGCGCTCCCAGTAATTGAGGTGTTTTATCTCCGTTATGCGCGCCGTGAAGGTTCTCTGTACATTTTCTAGGTCAGCAATTTCACCTGCCTTGAAAGGTGCTGTTAGTGTGCAGCAATATTCCAGCCTAGATAAAACAAGTGACCTGAAGAGTGTCATCATGGGCTTGGCCTCCCTAGTTTTGAAGGTTCTCATTATCCATCCTGTCATTTTTCTAGCAGATGCGATTGATACAATGTTATGGTCCTTGAAGGTGAGATCCTCCGACATGATCACTTCCAGGTCTTTGACGTTGGTGTTTCGCTCTATTTTGTGGCCAGAATTTGTTTTGTACTCTGATGAAAATTTAATTTCCTCGTGTTTACCATATCTGAGTAATTGAAATTTCTCATCGTTGCAATGGCACTCTCTCATCTGCACCTCCAGGGAAGTGAGTTACTAAACAACCTCCTTCCCATATCTGGGGTCCCAACTTCCACAGCCTCCTCTGTGGTCACCCCTGGACTCGGAAATCCCTACCTCGACACCTCATTCTGTTCTCACTCAAAAGTTTGTCTACATAGCCTTGTAAAACCACACCCTATCGCCCCTCTACTTCTCCAAAGTAGAAAAAATCACCGTTGTTGAAATCCCCTCACCTCCTTCCCTTCTACCTGCACATTTTTCCTTAACACTCTCTGTACCTGGTCCTTCACCTCTTACTGACTTTGTTACGAATGTGGAGGTTCATCCTCCTCCTCGTACAGTACCTTCCTACCCTGTCCCCTCCCAAGTTTCATCCTCTTCCTGTTCTCTTTTATCCCCCTCCGCCATTGTCCCAATCTTTACTCGCCCTCCTCCTTCCATCTCCAATATCGTCTCACATACAACGTCCTTATCCTCTGAAACACTTGAAGCTATCTCCAAATATATTGAGGAGACTAGACCATTGATGGACACTGATCCACCTTTATTTCTCTTTTTCACAACTCCTTTCTTTGCAGCTTGTAGGTTTTCTGCTGCCTCCACATGAGGACTTTTCTAACCCTTCTAGTCTATAGATACCTGTACCCTCAATTTTCTTGTATCTTTCTCTTCATAAATCATGGCCTATTTACAGTGGAATATCCGTGGCCTCAGAGGTAACTGGGGTGAGCTTCAAGTGTTGCTCTCCCAGCTTTCCCATGTTTGTGTTTGTTTACAAGGACCCAAATTACGCTCCACTGTTACATCCCATCTCAGGCTATGTTTTGTTATATTCATTGGATCCTTTTCCTGAGGAAACTTTTAATGAAAGTGCACTTCTTGTATGCACCGGTATACCATGCCATCAGATCTTCGTTCATACTTTGCTGCATTACCATTCAAGGGAGGTTCCTTTATGCTGGTGAGGGGCTCTTGATCTAGGGGATTGGATCTGTGCTCCAGTTCCCTAAATTAAGCCTGAATACCTTCCTCTCCCCCACAGGTGCTGTGTAATCTTAAGGGTTTAGCGCTTTCCCATTATAATAATAATTTGCTGCATTACACTGTATCGTGCAACCACTTGAATAAGTAGTATACAGTCTGTTCTTTGTATCTCTCCTCGGGCATTATCTATTACAGATGTTGAGTTTCTGGTTTCTTCATTACCCCTACCACTTCTTATCATTTCCTCTGGGAAGTGTCTCACTGTGACTCTTCCCCCCCCCCCCTCCATGTTTTAAATATGGGTGCTCCCACCCATTTTGACCCTCTTGCTCAATCTCTCAGTTTGCTCTTCATCAGTTGCACTAGTTTAGTTTAATATGTTTATTATGCACCCCATACCCATCCTGTGGGCGGTAGTCAAAAGATTACAGAGGTACATAATGGGTCCAGGGACTGGGCCTCAAAGTTTTGATAGCTGAGCAATTTACAGAGGTAATGAATTCACAATTTACAAAGGTAATGAACTCACAATTTACAAAGGTAATGAACTCACAATTTACAAAGGTAATGAACTCACAATTTACAAAGGTAATGAACTCCAGGTAGGTCTAGTCACAATCATGACAAGTTACAAAGGTATTTACAGATTACAGAGGTACACAATGGGTCCAGGGACCGGGCTCCAAAGTTTTGATGGCTGAACTAGGTACAAGGTAATGAACTCACAAGTTACAAAGGTAATGAACTCACAAGTTACAAAGGTAATGAACTCACAAGTTACAAAGGTAATGAATACTGTAAGAATGGTTACTTACGTTTATACATGGCTGCAATCATGAACAAATTTTAGAGTAATGAGCAATTCACACTTCCACACCCGGTCACAACTGTAGTGAGTTATTGGTGCAAATGTTGATTGCTGAGTCTCTCTCTCTCTCTACTAGACTTTACTTGGTCTGTGCTTCCAGATTTATATGACAGCGATCATTTTCCTATTCTTACTGCCCATTCGCATTCTCCCCCTCCTCGAAGCCCATGTTGACAATTTGACTGAACGAATTGGGACCTGTACTCATGTCAGACTGCTCTATTGATGAGCTGTTACACTTTTTTCGACCTCAGTTTCTCATGCTATACCCCAAACCTTGAGCAGGCATTCTCAGAAATGCGTACCATGGTGGTCTCGTGCTCGTGCTGTACATTTGAAATGCACTGCATGGGGCACATATTGTTACAGTAGGACCAGTGACTCCTTGATTCTAATTATTATGATCATGAGGGAGCGCTAAACCCATAGGATTATACAGTGCATGGGGGAGTATGGAAGGTATTCAGGCAACTGGAGCACAGATCCCATTCCTTAGAACGAGAGTCCCTCACCAGCATCAAGGAACGTCCCTTGATATGGTAAACATGAGGAAATTAATTATTATTATAATCAAGGGGGAAGCGCTAAACCTGGAGGATTATACAGCGCCTGTGGGGGGGGATGTGGAAGGCATTCAGGCTTAATTCGGGGAACTGGAGCACAGATCCAATTCCCTAAATCAAGAGCCCCTCACCAACATCAAGGAACCTTCCTTGAGGGGACTGAGGAAATTAAATCTTCATCAGAGTACAAAACAAATTCTGGCCACAAAATAGAGCGAAACACCAACGTCAAAGACCTGGGAGTGATCATGTCGGAGGATCTCACCATAACATTGTATCAATCGCATCTGCTAGAAAAATGACAGGATGGATAATGAGAACCTTCAAAACTAGGGAGGCCAAGCCCATGATGACACTCTTCAGGTCACTTGTTCTATCTAGGCTGGAATATTGCTGCACACTAACAGCACCTTTCAAGGCAGGTGAAATTGCTGACCTAGAAAATGTACAGAGAACCTTCACGGTGCGCATAACGGAGATAAAACGCCTCAATTACTGGGACCGCTTGAGGTTCCTAAACCTGTATTCCCTGGAACGCAGGTGGGAGAGATACATGATTATATACACCTGGAAAATCCTAGAGGAGCTTGCACACGAAAATCACTCACTACGAAAGCAAAAGACTTGGCAACGATGCACCATCCCCCCAATGAAAAGCAGGGGTGTCACTAGCACGTTAAGAGACCATACAATAAGTGTCAGGGGCCCGAGACTGTTCAACTGCCTCCCAGCATGCATAAGGGGGATTACCAACAGACCCCTGGCAGTCTTCAAGCTGGCACTGGACAAGCACCTAAAGTCGGTTCCTGACCAGCCGGGCTGTGGCTCGTACGTTGGTTTGCGTGCAGCCAACAGTAACAGCCTGGTTGATCAGGCTCTGATCCACCAGGAGGCCTGGTCACAGACCGGGCCGCGGGGGCGTTGACCCCCGGAACTCTCTCCAGGTAAACTCCAGGTAAGACAGAGTGGGATTTGTTCATTAAGAATTTGTTCCAGCAGGGCAGACAGTTAACCAAAATTTTTACATTGAGGTCAAGACATCCGAGGGAAGATACGAGAAGGAAATGTCCGGCACTGTGGGCGTTCAATGATTAGTTCATTAACCATGATTATGCCCCTGTTCATGCAGCACTGTCTGTCCAGCATTTTCGGGCCAAAAACAACACTGCAGTCATCTCCCACTCACTCCCATATCTAGCCAACCCTGTGAATTTTCTTTCTAAAAATAAAAATGGCACTCAATGGCGAGCTTCAAGTAGAAACTCAGGCTGCACTAGATGTTAGGAAAGAAGAGTTTCAGAAATATTTCAAGAAATGTGTACAACCCCACAATGAGAGTACTTCGTTGGAGAATGCTTCGACTAGATGATTATGTATGCCTATATACAGCCTCTCCTCACTTAGCGACGTACTTGTTCACTGACACCCCAGACTTACGATGGGCTCTCTGGCTAGTATTCATACTTAAATAATGTATATTAGAGCTGATTTCCTCTATTCTGTTTATTTCAATATACAGTACACTACTGTATAAACATTTAAAAATATACCAGAAATGTTATAAATGGTGCAAAGGTGACATTAAAACAGTATAAAAGATGGTTGACACAAACTCACTACCATTATAGTATGCTCCTCACTTAGTGATGAATTCGTTTAACAATGTGGTCTTAGGAACGTAACTCTGTCGTTAAGTGAGGAGAGGCTGTATTTTTATTTTCATGTCAGTCCAGGAACTTTTTGATGACACCTCGTACCTATCATCCAAGGACACCAGAGGGCCATTCAGCATTCACCCAGGCAATCCAACTCCTACTTGACAACCGCACCACCACAGAGGTCCATGTTAGACCTGGCCAATAACTCATTTCATTTTCCCTGTACCTAGGAGGTGACTTTTACAAGGGGAGAAAGATGTTCGCAGTAAGGAAACCCAATGGAGAGGAAGAAATGCAGAAGAGGGAAGTGGATATTTAGATTCAATCTGAGGGAGGAGATAGGGTTTTGATTCCTTAGATCAAGAGTCCCTTCCCAAAGAAGGAATATTATTTATTTATTTATTTATTTATTTATTAATTTGAATAAAAAAAACTGGAGAAGTATAAGACTTTATTACAAAACTCATACAATATCAGCTTGAAAACTAAAATATACTTTTGGGCTTTCAGACTGTAATGTAGATAACAAATTACTTTTAAATTATATTATGAAAATTGCTTCAGTAGTTTATTTTGGAGCTTTTCATTTACAAATGGTGAGACTGGAAGAAATATAATAAAAGTTATATAATGTATCAAAGATTAACAAATTTTAAATATTTAAAAAATAAATTAAAAATTGTAAGATGATTCATGTTTGTTTGAGAATTAAAAGTGAAATTCAAATTGTTAAGATATAGATAAGTTTTTAAGTTTACTTTCACTACTGATAATTATATTCATCACCTGAATAAAATTTAAGTATTATAAATGAATACCAGCAATAATTATTTGTAAATCAGTACCAACAATAATAATTTATAAATCAATAACAGTAATAATAATTTATTACAATTTATCAACAATAATTTATAAATATCTTCATTATCAACAATTTATGATCTAATATTATTTAGAAAGACAATCCATCAAATGGAATCCACACTTCCTCACACGTTAGACAGCTTGCATAGCTTCAAAGATTGGTTCCCAGTCCAGTCCCAGAGTATAATCCTGAGTTATAAGGACAGACACAGAGGATCAGGGAAGATGGTTAGTGTTCAAGATACTTAACGATTACAGTGTCTCATGACTAACAGTGTAAACCCACTGTGTGACCCACTAAATTTTGAAAAAATTCTTTTGAAATTGAAGAGATTATCTTTCTGATGGCAATAAAACAAACCTGGGAGCAAGGGGCTAGTAACCCCTTCTCCTAAATATATTACTAAATGTAAAAAGCAAAATTGTTTCTTTATTTTAGTCACTCTGCCTCAGTGGTAAGCGGCCATTGTTTAAAAAAATATAAAAGAAAACAGAACTGTAATACAAGTAATAAAGTTGGTAGAATTACCGACAATATGTAAAGTAAAAGGACACAAGTGCAACTAATGTGACATTTATTGTCACAATAAATGTCACATTAGTTGCACTTGTGTCCTTTTACTTTAAATACAAGTAATGTTTACATAATTATACAGCTACAAGTTTGGCATTTTTGGTGCTCGGTGTAGCAGTTTTGGGTCCAGCTGTTCAATGCGTTATAATGCAAATTCGTAGTGATTTTTCAACCTATTTTTTCATATATGCAATTTATTTTGCTTTATTTTCGCTAATATTGAGTAGAACCATAATCTTTATAGGAACTGGCAGTTATTATCAATTAAGTCTAAAAACAGAGCATTAAATTTATTTTTTAATACATTGGCCATCTCCCACCAAGGCAGGCTGACCCAAAAAGAAAAAACCCAAAAAGAAAGAAAAAGCTTTCATCATCATTCAACATTTTCACCATCACTCATACATAATCACTGTCTTTGCAGAGGTGCCCAGATACAACAGTTCAGATGTCCCTCCAAACTGCCAATATCCCAAACCCCTCCTTTGAAGTACAGGCATTGTACTTCCCATTTCCAGGACTCAAGTCTGGCTAACCAGTTTCCCTGAATCCCTTCACAAAATATTACCCTGCCCACACCCCAACAGCTCATCAGGTCCCAAAAACCATTTGTCTCCATTCACTCCTATCTAACATGCTCATGCACGCTTGCTGGAAGTCCTAGTCCCTCACCCACAAACCTCCTTTACCCCCTCCCCCCAACCATTTTGGGGCTGAACCTTACCTTTTGCCTTCCTTCCCCTACAGATTTATATACTCTTCAAGTCATTCTACTTTGCTCCATTCTCTCTAAATGACCAAACCACCTTAACAGCCCTCTGACTAATACTTTTAGTAACTCCACACCTCCTAATTTCCACATTACGGATTCTCTGCAACATTTACACCACACATTGCCCTTAGACAGGACATCTCCACTGCCTCCTCACTTCAGCATTTACAACCCATGCTTCACATCTATATAAGTGTTGGTACCGCTGTGCTCTCGTACATTCCCTTCTTTGCCTCCATGGACAACGTTTTATGTCTCCACAGATACCTCAATGCACCACTCACTTTTTTTTTCTTCATTAGTTCTATGATTAACCTCACCCTTCATAAACCCATCCACTGAAAAGTCAACTCCCACTTATCTGAAAACATTCACTTCTTCCATACTCCCTCCCACCAATGTGATATCCAATTTTCTTTATCTAAATTGTTTGATACCCTCATTACCTTACTCTTATCTATGTTCACTTTCAACTTTCTACCTTTACATACCCCCCCAAACTCATCCATTAACCTTTCCAACTTTTCTTTAAAATCCCCCAAAAACATAATATCAGCAAAAAGTAACAATGTCAACTCCCATTTTGTATTTGATTCCCCATAATTTAATCCCACCCCCTCCCCAACACCCTAGCATTTACTTCTTTTACAATCCCATCAATAAATATGTTAAACAACCATGGTGACATTAAACATCCCTGTCTAAGACCTACTTTTACTGAGAAATAATCTCCCTCTCTCCTATATACCCTAACCCTAACCTGAGCCTCACTATCCTCATAAAAACTCTTCACAGCATTTAACTTACTACCTATTCCATACACTTGCAACATCTGCCACATTGCTCCCCTATCCACTCTATTATATGCCTTTTCTAAATCCATAAATGCAATGAAAACTTCCCTACCTTAATCTAAATAATGTTTACATATATGCTTCAATGTAAACACTTCATCTACACATCCCCTACCCATTCTAAAGCCTCCTTGCTCATCTGCAGTCCTGCTCTCTGTCTTACCTCTAATTCTTTCAATAATTACCCTACCATACACTTTACCTGGTATACTCAGTAAACTTATTCCCCTATAATTTTTAGTCTCTTTTGTCCCCCTTCCCTTTATATAAAGGAACTATACATGGTCTCTGCCAATCCCTAGGTACCTTCCCCTCTTTCATACACTTATTAAACAAAAATACTACCAACCACATTAAAATGTACATACATTTATATCGCATTCACAAAAAATATATAATCATTCTTTTACATTTATTGTTCGTAATGTTCTAATAGCTATATACACTATTTACAGGTGTAGCACACTGGTATGTGGTTCCTACGATGCACCTGACAGGCTAGAATTTTTTCCTCGATAGCACACACCAACTGTGCATACCCATTCTTTGTTGTGCAGGCCGCGCTCCTGCTTCTCGTGCCAGATTTGAAGACAGTAGGTATATGACTCGCCTTTGTGCCACCAGCACTTTGTGACATGATACAAATTTCCATCATTGACACTTTTAAGGGTTAAATGTATCAACAAGAAGGATGAGAACTGTGTTAAAAGGGATGGAAACACAAGGGAGAGTATGTGAGAGTATGACTGGTACACTGGAATACAATATAAGGGAATGACTGGTGCATGTATACCATCAACCAATTTAGGTAATAAACACATACAATGTTTGGATATTTATTTAGGATACATTCTGCTTGCTGGGAGTGTCATTAAGTCTTTTTGAAGCTCCTGGTGAGCAACACGGCCTAAATAAATATCAAAATGTAGCAAATGCACCCATTAGCCTAAAGGAAATACACATGGAAACTAAGAACCAATGAGAGAAAATAAAATTTATGAAGGGAATTCTTCAGCTTGAGGCTAGAGAGAGTTCAGATGAAAATACAACTAAGATCACTGGATGTAGAAGGCATCTCCTGGGTTTATTAGTGATTAAGGATTGATGCCCTTGAGCTGGGATCTGATCTTTGTAAACACAAGATGAGGATGCTATAAAAACTAGTCCACTCAGCTTGCTCACAATTAAAACACTTTATACACACAAATAAGCCAAGTCAGTGTGTAAACAAAAACAAAGTACTAAACATAGACTGTGGCACACAACTTGAATAAATGAATTTGTTAAATATTAGGACACACTGTACAGTGCATTCTGCATATTAGCCAGTCTGCTTTTTACAGTCAAAATCATCTTAACAGTTATGCAGGTTAACAAAATATCTGTGGAACACAACTTTTGTCATAAAGAACATTATTATCCTCTCATACCATTCTTTAGTGCATTTTATCCTTTCTAACTTCAATACTGCATGTATGATACAGTATCACAAGATGGTTTCATTAAAAATTCTTACAAAGAAAAGTGAGTGATATATTACATAACTATTAATTAGTATAGAGCAACCCTAAAACAGAGCTCAATTCAGAAGGTGAAAAATTTGGGTAAGAACACAGTATGAGAAATATGCCTTTATTGAGACATGTTTTGCTTATGGTAGAGCTTTATCAAGTAATGCAAAACTCCGCATCTTCATTCCCATGCCTGTACATCCAGGTACAAAACTGAAGCCTGCTGTTTAAGAATGGGTGACAGTTCCAAGACATTCTCAATATCTAGATGAAGAGAAACTGTGATTCTAAGAGTCTCGATGCACAACAAACAAGAGGAGAACTGTATTACGCAGCCATAATCCGTCTAGTACAGCAGATATTGTCCACAGCATCACAGTATAAACATCCCCACCATGAAAAATGTGGATGACCACCTAGAATTATGTTAAAGGTGTTTTGGACTTTTCTCTTATATGTACTCTCATATGTATTAACAGCTCTGAATTACTTGAAAAATCTAATAGACAATCTGAGCAATGATATGGACTCTCACTCTTATGACCTTTCATGTGAAGAAGTAGATGTGAATGCTGAGAAAAATATTTAAAACATTCTGAGCATTGATACGGTTTCTCTCCTGTATGAACTCTCATATGCCTTACAAAATTTGATTTATCCGAAAATCCTTTTTGACATTCAGCACACTGATATGGTCTCTCTCCTGTATGAACTCTCTTATGTATTTCTAACTGTGAGTTGCGCTTGAAGTCCTTCAGACACACTGAACAATGATATGGTCTCTCTCCCGTATGAACTCTCATGTGTTGTACAAGATATGAACGCTGTGAGAAGTCTTTCAGACATATTGAACATTTATATGGTTTGCCTTCTGTGTGACACCTTGTGTGTTTCACTAGACCTGATTTATAATTAAACTCTTTGTTACATTCAGTACACCGATACAATTTTTCCTTTGAATGAATTTTCACGTGTCTTACTAGATCCGATTTATCGGAGAAATCTTTGCCACATTCCGAGCACTGAAATGATCTCTCTCCAGTATGAACTCTCATGTGGCGTCCTAAACCTGACTTGTCAGTAAAGTCTTTTTCACATTCTAAACACTGATATGGTCTCTCACGTGTATGAACTTTTTTGTGTTTTAGTAAATGTGAATGCTGTGAGAAGCTTTTAAAACACTCTGAACACTGATATGGTTTCTCCCCTGTATGAATTCTCAAATGTAAAACTAGATAGGAGCGATGTTTAAAGCTTTTAAGACACTCTTTACACTGAAATGGTTTCTCCTTTGAATGAACTTTCATATGCTGAACTAAATATGAACGCTGTTTAAAGTCCTTAAGACACTCAGAACACTGATATGATCTGTTCCCTCTATGAGTTTCCTTGTGATTTATTAGATTTACGTTTGTTTTAAATTCTCTTAAACAAACTGAACACTGATAACATTTCTTTCCTTTATGAACCCTCATGTTGCACTGATATAATCTCTCGTGTGTGTTACTTGAGGCAGTTTACCTGAAAAATGTTTCAAGCGAACTGAACTCTAGCATGGTTTCTATCCTCCACAAACTCTCTAAGTTTTTAGATTACATTTTTTGACAACATTAAATTTTAGGGATCTCTAAAATTTGTATGGTCTTATCTGTATACTTGTCTCATGAAAGAAGAATTTGATGAATTTCTTTAAGACTGAATACTTACAAGGGTTTCACACACTTTCTTTCAAATTTAGTTAATACATTCAAAACACTAATGGCTC